TTTTTTTTTCTCTCTTTATTTTTCTTTTTTTCCCCTTCTTTTTTCCTTTTTTTTTCCCCCCCAAAAGGGGGAGGGGCCGGGGCCGGGCCGCCCCCCCCCCAAATCCGCCCCTGAGCACGTTGAAATAGTCTAGTAAATAAGTTTAACTGGGTTCGTAAATAATACTGTCCTCAAAATATTGTGGCTGAGACATGAGCCGATTAAACGTAGAAATAGGAAACCTAGAAATATAGTAAAAACCCTGAATAGTACTCCAGCGTCGCGACATGCCGACGATGGTACGAGTAGGTTGTAGGTCTACAAACGTCGCCTAAAGTAATTGATTTTACGCGGCAGAACGAAAGAAGGAAACTCCGCTTTTCAGTTGTCTCAGGCGATTGATTTTTGACAAACAATGACCTTTCAGAGGTCAAATTGCTGTCAAGAATATGAATTGGCTGCTTCGCAGCAAAAAAAGAATTACTTTATTGTATTTACATGAGTAATTTTGTTTCTAAACTAGCAATTATTTCAGTGAGCAGACATATTGCGAGACCCCCTCTAAATGATTGGTATTAGTAGTAAGTAAATCATGGTTTATAACACAGAGATGGAACCTAAATGCACCGGCAAAGAATTCAAACAACACACATCCATTATTCCTGATGATGACATAATTAATGTCGAAATATTGAATCCCAACACGATGGCTTGTATTTCAATACTTGGAGTATGTATTATACTTTCTTACACATCCATTATTTTCTTCATTTTTTCAATAGTAAAAAATACGTTAGGAAGAAGAGGGTTAGCATTGTACACTATTAGGAAGTAGACAAAAATGATAATATCTGGGAACAAAAGGGCGGATCCAGGCCGGTAAGAAAGAGGGGGATTGAATGTTCGAATTGAGTGAGAGTCTCAGAGAAGAGCCCTGGTAGAGGGGCAAACTAAGGTAGAATTACCCTTAAACCTCTGGCACCTTCATTAATTTGAGTTGGTAGTTTGCTTGACTTTTACTATTTAGCATGGTAATTTTCTGATAAGCTTTACAAAACAAATTTTCCTCCAAATAATAGGGGGAAGGGGGAGTACACGCCTTACTCCCCCTCTAAAACGTGATTTTTTTTCAAACAAATAATGGTGGATAAAATCTTCTAATCTTAAAGAAAACTGGGGATAATAATATTTGATTAAAAATTATGTTATGAGCATTAGGCCTGATATGGATGGAACCATGATGCAAAAACCACGTATATCCGATTATCATATTCCTTTGGAAGCCGTGGTAACGGCGGCCCTGGTGACGGATGACGCGGTTGCAGTAGTGTTTACCAACAGATCTTAATCGATAATACTTACAATAGAATCTTAATAACACATACGCCTGAAGCACACCGAATCTATTACGCTTCACCTTTATGTATGGCAGGCTATTATGTTTAAATAGTAGAAAGTGTTCTTATCGCGGTACTAGCGTGCGCAAATCATGCCGTGCTTCTAATAGTTTTTTTCATACGGTTGCAAGATTTACATCGCGTTGCCTTCACGCTTTAGCCTATTATCTTCCATGATTTAAGTAAACAGGTAAGATTTATACCCATATTTTTGTATAATTACTTTGGCTCGCTGCATTGTTGGTTAGTTACACTGATTCCGTAGAAAGAGAAGACGAATGGTCGTTAAAGCCTATATAGGCCTATGGAATCCTGGTTTGTTTTTCTGCAGGGGAGGATTGGGTGTGAGCGAGCGGCAATTGGGAATCTATGGTTTGAGTGTAGGGGGAATATTTAGTCAAAGAGGAAGAGGCTGGGGTGATGCCTTACCTATTACGAGGATCCAGAAGCTCTGGATCTTAAGCCATAATAATCACTTATCTGAATAATTTCACAATTGGTGGAGTTATTTTTACTTGCGCTAGAGGAATGGGTGGTGGTCGTGGTACAAGGGCCCTTCCGCTCTTCTTAAATCCATTACTGCTATGTAGCTATATATTCTCCAATGTTCTTCACTTTTTTTAAACTTTTATTAGCATACCTATATGTATAATAAGACTATTATACAGATAGGCCTATACAATTTATACGATCACTTCCTGTGACAACAGAAATAATTCAACGTAGGGTCATAGATCAACGAAACACATTTAAAAATAATTCTTTGAAATAAAATGTTTTCATTCTCAATAATGTTTAGAATAATTTACATTTTAAGTGATCAAAGATTTGTTCAATTTACATTTTGTTGTGTTATATTTCAGTGTTAGAGGCTGTAAATAATACCGTACAAACAATATAGGAGAAAAGGTTAGAGTCTCTTGTATTTTTCCCCCCAAATTATTAATTGTTGTGTGCGTCATCGTTCTTTTTGAACAAATATGCTGGTACGTTGATGACATTATACTGTAGCAGTGTGTACGGACATATAGTACAACTTATCGTGTATGATTAATGCTGATTTTCCATTACAAGGCAGTCAACCTCAACCAATTCGTTTATAGATTTTCAAATATGAGATAAACCATTGTTTAACATATTTCTTAATGTCTTTCTTAAGATAATTGTTCTGTTGGGGTGGGCTTAGATGACAAAAACACTTTTGAAAATAGGATTCCTAGAATAGGGATATTTTTAGATTGGAATGAATATAATATATTATTAATATTATTAGTAAACTATCATCATATTTCAGGAAGCATGCATTCATATAGATGATATTAAGTGTTAGACATTTGGAAACTGGGTCGGTCAGTCAGTCAGCAGATTTATAAGCCTCGGACTATTTTTAGGTTCCAGTGACAACCTTCACCCATCCCATGCATTTTGGTTTGCAAAATGGTAATCATGATCAGTGGTTAAGTTATCAATTGTATTGAAGTTTGAATTACCACTTTTGGGCCCCTCTTTTGTTATATATTGGTCTCTCTTTTGTTGCCTATATATTTGCTAAAAACAAACCCGACCCTAGGTGTGCTAAATTTTGAGTCAGTTGAGTATGTCAACAAAATTACATTTATTTGGCTTAATTTAGACCATTATTGTTGTGCTTTTTCAAAAGATTTAACACATTGTTATAATTATGTATATTCACAGGTTGTCTTTGAGAGGATGAGTAAAGAAGACCTGCCACCACCACCACCCTACGAATATGCCACCGCACCTCCCGTTTACCAACAAGCACCAGCTTTTTCTACTCAATACCCATACGGGAACTACGCGTCTGGGCTTACGGCAGCATACCCCCAGCAGCACCAAAACCAACACCATCACCAGCACCAGCCCCAGAACCAGCCTCAGCCTCCTTACGTGTACAGATCAGTGCCAGGACAGGTTAACTATGTACAGAGTGTTCACCCTCATAGGCCTAATAATAGAGTAATAGTTATGGATAATCGACGAAGGCGACAAGATAATGATCAGTACGAAGCTTTCTGCATGGGCGCGCTGTGTGCCGCCTGCCTGTGTTGCCTAATTTCTGATTAAAGATTGTTTCGTAGACTGTTACATTGGTCACAATTAGACGAAGGCTAATTATTATAGAAACTTAGGTATCAGTGGCGGATCCAGGAATTCAAGATAGAGGGGAGACAGCAAGGGGCTTTCACAGATAGAGAGTCCACTGGCTTCCTCGGCCGTTGGGGCTGAGGCAAGAAAATGTATGATTATAGCACATTTCAATACAGAAAGGACACTCTCCGACATAAATTTCATTATAATTTTATTTTTTCCTCAATTTTTTTTATAATTTTGAAAAACTTAGGTGGTGGGGGGGGGGGGTAGGGTGCGTCGGCCAGCTGGCCTCCACCCCCGTTGAATCCGCAACTGGGTATGCCAATATGTGCACCATCTAAGATTTTCGTTGCCTATATTTTCATCAGTCAATTACGGTGCCAGGGGCACAACACTTTATAATAATAAGTGTTAGCACATAAAATTTATATGCATTGGAATTTTTAAAATTTGGTGGAAAATGGTGTGGGGGGAGGGGGCACACACGTGCCCCCCTACTGGATCCGCGCCTGTATACTGTCAATAACTACGTTTGAGTGTGAAGTTGTACCATCATATTTTTATAATCGTGTCACCATTCAACAGATAACATTGTCGACCTTAAAGAAGATGAATGTTTAAATACTCGCATTATGTTGATACAATTCTCCACCATCTATCATCCAATCGGAAACTGAATATTATTTTTATTAACAATAAAAAAAAAAAAAAAAAAACGGTAACGAAACTTGTAGAGACAGAAAACTGTAATATACAGTGGCGGATCCAGAGTCTTTCAAACGGGGAGGGTTATCTTATTTGTATGCTATTTTCTTATTTCAATTCGTGGCATTGGTATGTATTGAAAATCACTATGGCTAAACTTAGGAGGTGGGGGCTGGATGCAATCTCCCACATTGGATCCGCCCTTTGACATTGAATGACTGTTGGGCAGAAATGGATCCCAGATTTTTGTTAGGGATCCCAAATTTTTGTTAGGAGATGGTTGGGGTGGGGGGGGGGGCTGGTCTAGCTACCAACAATTTTCAATGAACACTACCTTAGCCACATCATGATTGGTGGTCCCTTTATGACGCGGTTCTGATTGATAAACTAATATTTTCAAAGGTCCTAAAGGCCAACTTATATTAGGCTAATATTTCAGCACCCGGCTAAGTCCTGATGGGATAAATCAATGTGATTATTTCGGTAACGGGTGGTTTTGACGAATCTGCTGGGTCTGTCGGAAAGGGGAATTGAGTAGTTTTATTTTTAATAATCGTGTTCAGCTTTATTATTATCGAGTTAAGTATTGAACACTGAGGTAATGTTTAACGATGTATTGAAAAAGATGGATACTTGTGCTATTTATAGAAAAATATTTTGTTGTCATAAATATTATTTTAGATATAACTTTTGAAATAAATTATATAGTTATTGACTTTCTTGTATTGAATGTAGTTGGCATTGACAGAAATAATGTGCGTCATTGCATTTCAAATCAATACGATATACCTGTCTCTTATACACATCTAGATGTGTATAAGAGACAGAGCCTATATAGGCCTATGGAATCCTGGTTTGTTTTTCTGCAGGGGAGGATTGGGTGTGAGCGAGCGGCAATTGGGAATCTATGGTTTGAGTGTAGGGGGAATATTTAGTCAAAGAGGAAGAGGCTGGGGTGATGCCTTACCTATTACGAGGATCCAGAAGCTCTGGATCTTAAGCCATAATAATCACTTATCTGAATAATTTCACAATTGGTGGAGTTATTTTTACTTGCGCTAGAGGAATGGGTGGTGGTCGTGGTACAAGGGCCCTTCCGCTCTTCTTGAACCCATTACTGCTATGT